AATGGAACGCCCAACGGGAAAGCGGCTTTTGCGCCAGCTTGTCTTGACCTCGTCCGCGCAAATCTCAGTCTAGTGCGCGCATGTATCGGCCGTCTCAAAGCGCGCTCACTGCTGAGCAACGGTGCGGCAGGCAATCTGTGTTAGCACTATACCCAAGAATAATGTGTTGAACCATTGGGAGAAAGCATTTCACATGCGCTCGGTATGATGTTCGTCTTCGAGACAAGAAGTTGAGGTACGTATGTATTCTCTCCTATTAACCTACAGCATCGTGGCTCCTCACTGAGCCAAATAGCCCCTATCACCAGTCAGCGCTTCATGGTTTCTCACGTAAAGATTGAACAATACATACCCATCCAGTACCAATGACTGACCAAACATGTAGCTGCTCATGGGCCCAGCCAAGAACACAACAGCATCAGCAACCTCTTCAGCATCTCCCAGCCGGCCTGCAGGCACACGCTCTCGCACGAGGTTATCGATGAAAGCCTTGGTCTGTTCCGAGGACGCGATGAGCGGCGACATGATGTACCCAGGGCAGAGCGCATTGATACGAATCTGCTGGGGTGCATACAGCACGCCCTCAGAACGTGTCAGACCGAGAATAGCATGTCGACCCGCTACATATGCACCAGCAGCGACTTGAGGGGGTGAAGCGGCAAAGGCATGCACTGAGCAGACATGCACGATACTGCCACGGCCATATCGCGAGTCGCGCGGCTCCTGCCGCAGCATTTGCCGTATCCCGGCCCGATGCCAGAGCCAGACACCAGTCACGTGTTCCTTGAGGTGGGTATCGAATGCGGCGGGTGCCGTGTCGGGACTGCCGCCCATGGGCCCACCGAAGCCGGCATTCAGAATGACGAAATCGATACGAGCGAAGCGTGACGCGGCTTGTTGAACGACAGCCTCGACGGACTCTTCCGTACTGCATGGAGTGGAGACACTCAGCACGTCTGTCACCTTGTACTGCGATGCTAGCGTCTGCGTTGTCTCTTGCAGTCCAGCCTCGTTGGTGTCGACAAGGGCAAATTGTTTAACACCATTGCGGGCCAGCGAGTATGCGGCGCTCTGGCCGAAGCCTGCAACGCAGTATTAGCCTTCTATCTCCTTTGCTACAGACTTTTTGCAAGCCACAATAATGCAAAGATAGTAACAAACAAAAACGTACCAGATCCGGCTTCTGTGATTAGTGCAACTCCCGAAAGCATTCTCGATATGGTGATCTTCGTGGCTAATTTTCATCCCATGGTTCTTGACGTTGTTTTATCGTGATCATGCAATACCCTCGGTGCTTTCTGACTCGGCGTGTTCAAAAACGCACCGAGTTGATTGCTTTCGCCCCCAAATCTGGATCCTAGCGCGGAGTTGTGTGGAGAGGCATGAGGCGGAGAACGAAAAACCCCGGCATGGGTATCTAAATTTGAAGCGTCCAATAGGGAGCGACCAGCGCTCTTAAGAATCCGAAAGCGAAGGACGTGCGTTATGCTCCACGTCGGGGCTCTCCGATTGTCTGTTTACAGGTTACTACGTCTCTTACCTTCTCAACGATCGTGCACATGCAAAAGGTATCCGCTCCAAAGCTCTATACCATGTAGTTCTTGCGGACAGCAACACCCCAACAGCAATACGACCGCCCCACTACCCAGCCCACGGACCGCGATCGCTCAATGTTGCTGCGATGCACCCACGCGGCCCCTTGCGAAGGCCAAGTTTGGAGCATGAAGCCTCAGACTGTATAGTTCTCCATGACGCCTTCGCATGAGTATCGCTAAGGTTGGAGCAAAGACTGTATCCTCTCGTCAGACGCAGAATATGAAGCACTCAACTTCTTGGTCTGAATATGCGACCTGGGCACACAAGCACTTGGGGTTTCCTGTGCGCTTGGCGATGATCGTTGTAGGTGGGTTGTGATGTCGAGATCGAAGAAGAGCTCGTATAGCTGGTAAGGCAGTCATCGTATCTGAACACTAGAGTGCAGTTTCCGTGGGAGCGCACCACTGCAGGTATGAAAGCGTCCGGCTTCGTTTTTCTCAATCAAAATTCCAAGTCGACTTCTCTTAGCCGACACAGCTGGCTCATCATGCTTCGCGGTCGGCTGTAAGCTCGGCGCGCTTTCCCGTCGATTCGATCAGCCTTTGCACGTCGTCTGGGATCCATGAGAAATGGCAAGATCAAGTTACGAAAGCAATCTCTGCTCAGCTATACAGCATTCCTCTAGAACTTTCGTCGTTGTCACGGTCTGGATACCTGGGCAGGGTCGCGACAGCAGCACATAGCTCGTGCACTTGTGCGTAATGTGAGTGGCTCGGGTAGTCCATAGCATTGGTGGCAATGGTCACCATCTGCGGAACGTCCGGAGCTGACGGCGATGGAGATGCGACAACGCTGTCATGGCTGGAATGACGATGAGATGCCGTTCAGGAGTGTGACGTGCGTCAACCGGTGACGAAAAGCTAGCGGCGTAATTCCTTGGCGCCAGTAGAAGCTAGCGCGTAAACAGCTCATCCAGGCACACCGTTCGTTCTCTTCGCTGATACACGAACTCAATGCTACCCTCATTTTCCATCATTTAGCTTTAGTTTTTGGATAGACCCCTTTCTATCGCTTAGCGGGTGTTGACCGCTTCGTCGACTTAGTAAGAATACCCCACTCCAGACTTCCCTCTAAGCAGCCGAAACATCCACACCTACGCTGCATAGCCAAGCTCGGTGAGATGGCAGGTGTTGGACACTTTGCCTCCTCCCTGCGACTCAGTCGGGATCGAAGTGCGCGACATATCCATTCAGGGCACGTAGGAAGAGACATTGTTCCTCGACTGATGCAGCCTCGCAACGCACTGGTGCAAAACAACAAGGCAGCCCCATGATTGGATCATCTTCGACGTGACTGCTACCTAATTCCACCACTTTCGCTTCTGCCACGTTTGAGCGCAAGTTGGAACGAAACTGCAACCACCTCGGCCCAACCCTTCCAGGATACTGACGCCCGCCAGAATGGACCCTTTTAGATATCGGAAGGCGTATGAGGCCATGGTGCATACAACGCAACTCATCGAAGAACGTCTGAATCAAGATGTTCAGCTCAATGAGGAAGGCACAGTCCATGAAGATGGCGATGTACCAGAAGCCGCTTTCCAGGAGCAAGATCCGGATAGCATGGACTGGACGCCCACGGAATCGAATACTCCACCTCCAGAATGCGGACCACCCCCAACTCTGTCAAGGAAAATGCGTCATCTTCTACCCGGTGGTGGAGATGGTGATCTGCAGGCTGAAGATCGTGGCGAGAACGCAGTGCTCCTGCACAAGCTCAAAGAGGGGAAGATCATGGACGAATGTATTGATAAGCTGGTTCACGATCTACCGGACGTCTTGAATTACCAGAAATCACTCTCATTCACTCCTTCGACGATCGAAGTACCTAAAGACTTTGGTCTGCAGCTCAGCATTTCGATAAACCACCATCTCGCTCAGATAGAGGATCGCAAGGCGCTGGAAAAATACCGCAGGTTACTCGGACATCGCAAGGACGCGACCAAGAAGAAGCCCGTTAGGCTTGGTTTTGATCCAGTCGAATTGATCAAGAAACAAGCTGTAGCATTTGGAAAGGATGTTCCCGCACCTGTCTGCACGCTAGACAACGAGATACACCCTATCTTCCGTCTAGATAACTGGCACGGGTGTCCGGATGGAATCTACGAGGTCTTGAAACCGGCTTTGCAACTAGCCACCTTGCTGTTGACATCTCAGGCCACTGCTCACTTCTGGCATACTCTGGTATTTGGCAAGAGGGAGGCCTGCGAGGAGACATCTGCAGCATATGGTCAGCCTTGTTTTCGCATCAAAGAGGACGTAGCATGGTCTGAAGAACACCATGCGACGTTCAAGAACTTTCTGGACAATCAGATCGATACGGTTCACTTCTACTTCCACCACGATCCTCTACCACCAGAGACTGCATATGCATCGATGGGTCTCGTCAAAGATTACAAGAACGGTTTGATGCGGAAGATTAATCACAAGTGCCATACAAGTCGCATCTGCCTTCATTCAGACTTCTACACTACCGCAAAGAAGCTCAGCTTACTACGATACCGGGAGCCTGCGATGGTGCTGCGATACAACATGTTCCTTGCTACATGTCTGGCGCATGAGGTTGCACACTTCTGTGAAGTTTCCGGGCCGCATCATGATCATCCTCTGCTTTCTGAACCTGAGGTCTTTTTCGGCGACAACATGTGGACGGAGAGTGGAATCGCTTTCGAACTCAAGATCTTTGGTGGGCGCATACACCCTCTGTCTAGCCGGATCGACTGCAAATTCGGGCTCGCTTGTCTGGACTACCCGCTCAAGGAGCTTTACGACAAGGACGACAATGTTCTATACGCCTTGCCAATGGACTACATCCTCAAGCTACAACAGAAAGAAACATGGGAGCAAGACTTCAGCAAGGCTGGCCCGGACGTCTTCTTCGTTCCACGTACTGGAGGCCGCTCGATCGAGATTAACGGAACCAATCTAATGATCTGGGAAGATGAGAACGATGCAGAGATCTCGGATCATATTGATAACAAGGATACGGAGTGGATGCGCATGGACGATGGTTCGATTGCGAAGAACCCAAAAGCAAATAACCGCAAGCCTCAGCGACAACCCGTGGTACCCCGATGGAATCCGTACAACAACCAAAAGAGGAAACAAGCTGTCGAGACAGGAGCCCCGTGTGTCTCTACCGAGGTCGTGGAGATAAAAGATGAAGAGGCAAAAGAGGAACAAAAATTGGAGCCTCCTGAAAACACTGAAGTAGGCAAGGGTGCTTCGGATCAGGATATGGCTTAATAAGAGATGGCGTTTTGGATGGAGGAAAAGGAGGAGGGATTGTTGCATTCACATTTAGCACGTTCTCTTGGATACCACTGCATTTGCGTAGGGCGTTGTTGTTTGTACTGCATTGGCATAAGCATCAACAGTTATTAGTACTACTTGTTTGTGTACAGCTCATGCTTCATCGAGAGCCTTGTTCGCTAATGCATCTGCTTCTCGGTTCATGGTCCTTGGTACATGCCAAGACTGGTACTCTCTACGACCCGTCTGGTCGTTGTTCTCCAAATAGACCAAGCGGTCATGTAGCCTTTTCAGGACCTGGAAGTGCGCAACTTGTCTGCCATTGGAGCCCACCCCATTATTCTCAATCCATCGCTTTATCCACTGGCTCATAGCTTTGACTAGAAAGCTTGAGTCGGTCGCAACCTTAATGCGAGATAGCTTGGGGTATTTTCTTATGATAGCGAGAATGCTCCCAAGCGCTTGACGAAAAGCCTCAATCTCCGCGCGTGTGCTCGTCTGAGGCAGAGACTTGTCAAGAAGACCGCAGCTATTGTAGGGAGAGTCGGGACCAAAGTAGATGCCGTATGAAGCCCGCGCTGTTGGTCGACCGTTATTACGACACGCACCGTCAATGAAGACGACTAAGCTTGAGTAGTCCGGAACGGGTTCTGGCCCGCACATGTCCACCATGCGCAGTTGGGAGATCATCATGTCGGTGTTGTAGGAAACGAGCTCAGATCGCGGAATAGAAGAGGACCAAGGGTCTTCAAACGGGACGTAAAGACGTCGGATTTCCCTTTCGTGCTTGTTGCGAGGCATGTTGTTGGCTTTGATCTTAATGTTGACCTGGACTGGAGTTGTGAGCTGTCTCTTGTGCAGCGGATGAGTCGGAACCTATATAGTGGCGATGGTGCATAGTGTTTCGGCCTTATTATCAATATCAGGGAGTCGCGTCCACGGCTATCTTCTTTCCAAGTAGAGGTACCTGACCGGGCCTACTGTTGGGCTAGTCCAATGTGGCTAGCGTGCTGTAAGCGAGGTGAATCTTGGCAGAGTCACTGGAGCCCGAAATCTGCTTCCTGACAACGACGCACGCCGACTATCTACTACCCCCACCGAACGTCAACCCCGCCCTTTTCGACGACTCCAAGATGGCGGACACCCAGAAAGATGCGCTGTTCAAGACGGTGCAGATCGACGCCCTGGTACGTAGGAAAAGTGCAGCTCCAGTACCCCACTGTGCGCCCCGCCATTGTGCTGGAAACATACCGTTATAGGAGCCTGGTATAGCTATGAGAGACTGACTGTGGTCCTCAGGTCGCGATCAAGATCGCTACCGCAAGCGGCAAGTCTTTCCCCTCGCTCGCAACCGGAAGCATCGTCGGTATGGAGAAGAACGGCGTCCTAGAAATTACAAACTCGTTCCCCTTCCCCGAAGTCTCTGCCGCACAGACCGATGGCCAGAACGAGACCGTCGCAAACCTCGCCGCTGGTGCTCCCCGCGCCAAGCAGAACATCGCATACGGAAACGAGATGATCAAGTTCCTCCGGGAGGTCAACGTGGACGCGAACAACGTCGGCTGGTACACAAGCACAAGCATGGGCAACTTCGTCAACCTGAACACCATCGAGAACCAGTACTTCTACCAGAGCCAGCCAAACGAGAGGACCGTCGCTTTGATCTACGACGTGAGCAGGAGCTCTCAGGGTACCCTGAACCTGCGCGCATACAGGCTCTCTCCTTCTTTCGTGACGGCATACAAGGAGGGCAAGTTCACGACTGAGAGGTATGCATAAACGATTTTAGATAAAGGTGGAAACTAATAATTCCAGCCTCCAGAAGAGTGGTCTCCGCTACCACGACATCCTAGTCGAGCTTCCAGTCACCATCCGCAACTCCCACCTCCTCACCTCGCTCCTACACCAGCTACCCTCCGACGCGCCCAAGCAGGAGCTCAAGTTCCCACCCAACCTAGCCGCTCTGCAGCAGGACCCAAACACCCCCCAGGCACCGCTCTTCCCCAACTACGACTCGCTCGACCTCTCCATCGACCCCTTCCTCGAGAAGACCTGCGACCTGCTCCTTGAGAGCATCGAGAACCACCACACAGAGATCAACAACTACCAGTACTACCAGCGTTCGCTCGCTCGTGAGCAGACCAAGATTACTGCGTGGCAGCAAAAGCGCAAGGCTGAGAACGCGGCGCGCACAGCCTCAAAGCAACCTCTCCTTCCCGAAGACGAGTGGCAGAGGCTGTTCAAGCTGCCCCAGGAACCCAGCCGACTGGAGACGCTCCTCAACTCGAGACAGGTGGAGCAATACTCGAGGCAGGTGGACGGTTTCACAGCAGGCGTCACTTCCAAGATGTTTGCTGTCAAGAGCAACCTTCTTCCTGGAGAGTAGATTTGGTAGACGTGGCTGTATTTCATGATTATGCTTCTCTTCGTCACGGCATGGGCATGGCGTTGCGGGTTAGCGGTCCCTTTGACGGGACTGGATTTGATCTTTTAGATGGAAGGACCACGATGATTATGTGAAGGGGCATTTCTAGCGTTTGCCCATGTGTTCCGATGCCAAAAGTTGGAAATGCCGCAAAAGCATTGATGTTCAAACAGACGCTGCTCAGCTAGGCGGCTGAAAGCTCTCCTAAGCGTGTGCGGAGCGACCATTGCCACATAGAGTGCTGAATCAGACAAAGAAGTAATCAACACGCGTTCGCGACATCAATACAGGTGCTCTCCATGCTGAATGTGTCTACACCTGTAATACTCGCCAACCCTAACTACTCGGATACCGGATCGACGGTGGACCTGCATCTTTCACGAAAACGGCTTGGGCTAAAGCAGCGTCCAACACCGGCGCCATCATGCAACAGGCCTCCTCGCCTGTCCTCCAGCAGCTCCGGTCACTGCACCCTGGCGCTCTCCAGACGCTACACCAGTCGCCCGACGGAACGCTATATCCCCACAATCAGGTCCTGCCCGAGCTGCAGAACCTCCACACGAGCGATGTATACCAGCAGCAATACGCCCTGAGCGGGCCACCGCACCAACAACCACCGTCGCATGCGCTGCCAGTACACTTTGAGCAACATGCGCTCCCGCCTTCAGGGCCGTACCCGCCATTCCAGCCGGCGGGCTATCAGCATGGCACGAGTCCGCGATTCATGAACGCGCCCCCTCCCCCGCTTCAAGAACACGCGCAACAGTATCACGCATCCCCCCAGACGGTACAACGACCGGTTCAGCAACTTCCTCTCCCACCGCCTGCACCACCGATACTCGCGGCACCGCAGCCACTGCCACGGCATGTAGAGCCAGCGCCTTTGCTGCATAAGCAGGAAAGTCAGGATGGGTACGTTGGCTTGAGCGTAGCGACAAAGCGCACCCTACTGATCCTTCGATAGCGACGACACTCCATTGTCCAACCATGGCCAATTCCAAGGCCTGAAGCTCATACCCAACCCTCCAGACTTGGAAGAATGGAGAGAGAGACTGTTTCATGTTGATGGCATGATCACTCTGACTGAAGAGCAGTATGACGACTCCCTGGCATACTCAGGACTATGCGCTGACCCCCTTCTTAGGTTCCAGACTTACTTCCCTCACATCGACAACGTCTATTCGCACCGCTCGACCCAACGGCATAAACGCAAGCGCTTCGTATCACACTACTGGGACTGCCGACTCAAAGGGCGACCACCAGGCACCAAGAAGTCCACAGACCCGGACAAGAAGAAGAGGAAAAGAGTCGCAAGAGAGCGGGACCTGTGCGATGTCAAGATCAAGATTACCGAGTTCTTCGATCGACGGGAGTACGAGGAACAACTTGGTCGACGACCACCAGGCACAGAGAACGATCCGCCGAGTCCGGTGGCATCGACGATGCCGCTGAACCCCAACCGGACGGGTCAGAACCAGAATCCGCAGTTCTTCGGGCAGCAGCCGTTACTGCCGCAACAACCGACTGGAAGTTGGGATATGCCTCAAAACATGGCCGCTCAGCCAGCCATGAACATGCCAGAATACGCCCCTTCGTCCGGCCCTCCGTCGAAGAAGTTCTACACTTTCCAGAGGGTAAATGGAAATGGCGGGAATGGCAAAGGCGATGGCGTTGCCGGGCCGCATAAGCACACACTTGAGGAGAGTGACCGTGTGAAGAAGAACAGCGTCATTAGATGGCAGGCCAAAATCGACAAAGACGACAGGAAGAGATCGCAGGTAAGCTTCACTTCTTTCTTTGATCTCAAACTCCGCTTTCCCGTTCCACCGACCCATCTAGCCATGGTGATATGCAATGGCGATCCACACTGCCCGCAGATCAAGCGCATACGTCATTTTGATGCATGCTTGGAACACTGACTATGCCCATCGCTCGACCTGTAATCATTTAAGACTGGCTCCTCGGGTTCTACACTGATCCTAAGTTTCCGACATTGCTCATGAGTTCTTTCTGTAAACTTCGCACATTGCCCTGCTTCTTCCCACATCCCTGCACTCGTCCTTCCACCATCTCCAAGACTACATTTTGTTCAAACCTTTCTTCACCCCAAGCACCATCTTTGCGAATCAATAGTGAGACCATTCGATCCACAATGACCGACACCAACCAGGGCGGAGATCCATCCAAGAAAACGTACCACAAAAAAGCCACTGGCAATGCCTTGACAACAGTCAAGAACCACTCCAAAGAGGACGACCTAAAACTATACGGCAGCGCATTCTGGTAAGCCACACTCTCAACTACATCTCCACTCAAACCCACCATCCTCACGCTCAACCCACTAACCCCACCAGCCCCTTCGTCCAACGCGTCTGGATCTCCCTAGAACACAAGCAAATCCCCTACCAATACATCGAAGTCGACCCCTACAAGAAACCGCAATCCCTCCTCGACGTCAACCCGCGCGGTCTCGTCCCCGCTCTCCGCCACGGCCCTACATGGTCGACCCATGAATCAACCGTCATAATGGAGTATCTCGAAGACCTGCAAGCTGGGCCGCATCTGCTACCGCCCGATGCGCAAACACGCGCTACCTCGCGTCTCTGGTCTGATCATGTAAACCGCAATATCATACCCTGGTTTTATAAATTACTTCAGTGTCAAGACGCTGCTGAACAAGTTGTGCACGCGAAAGAACTGAGGGATCAAATCGGTAAACTCGTTGATGCCGCAGATCCTACCGGTCCTTTCTTCCTCGGTCCCCACATTTCCTTCGTAGATGTGCAGATCGCCCCCTGGGTTCTTCGGTTAAGGCGGGTGTTGGGTCCGTATAGGGGGTGGCCTGAGGCGGAAGAGGGGAGTAGGTGGAAGAGATGGATTGATGCGATTGAGGCGGAGAGGAGTGTCAAGATGACGACGAGTACGGATGAGCTTTATTTGGATAGTTATGAGCGGTATGCGGAGAATAGGCCGGGGACTAGTTTGTTGGCGGATGCGGTTAATAGTGGGAGGGGGTTGCCTTAAGGGGGTGTAGGAGGGGTGGGTGGTAATATCATGGTTTCAAATCTCGGGTACGTTTCCAACATAGATTATCCTTGATTTGAAGCAAATACAGAGTGGTAATCAAAATATCGTAACGACCGTATCCTTGAAGCGATTTAGAGCCTCCTCACCCTCCTTCTTGCTCAGGCACATTCCACCAAACCCGATTCTCATAAACGAAAGCTTGCTCTTCGAGTCTTCCATTGTTTTTGTCTGAATCTCGTCGAGGTCTTCAAAGGGTTTAAGCAGCAGACCCAGAAAACCGCAGGCCCCAGGGTAAGGGACACCCTCGATCGGATTTGAGTCATCCATACAATGGATGACCAATAGGAATATAGGTGCATCGATGACGCGATTCGGAAGTAGCATCAGTGGGTTGTTAAGGTCGTCGAGCACACAATAGCAATGGTCTTGTTCAAGCCACCGAAGGTTCGGGGCCCAACCCGGACTACAAGCGAAACAGCAATCAAAGTCTATGGCATGGTTATGGTATAGTAAGAAACTCTGCCATGGGCTCTCATGCTCTTTCCATGTTCCCTCCAATGGAAATAATGAACCTCGTAAAGTGATTTGACCCCCAGTGACCATCCCTCTAGGGTCCACTGTGCTCGGATAAGTACAGATGTCAAGGATCTGAACAATAGTCCTGGGAGGCTCATTCAGCTGCGGATATCTCACTACGCCTTCGATGGATGCCCAAGACCAGGACGGTGGTCTAGATTGGGAACGCTGTTCTTGCTCTGGACGTTTGCCACAGGAACTCCACCAAAGCAAGCTGCCTGGCATATGAGACTCCCAAAGGCCGGCATGATAGCGGTCAGAGCCTGCCTGGAAGTAATGGGTAGAGCTCGATAGTGCTGGCAGCCTATCTTTGCAAAAGCTGATTTGGCGCTCTGAGTAGTCCTCCACAATGCTCTCCCAGATCCTGAACGGCTTAGCTGAAGTAGTGCCGACGATCGGTGGTATCAGGAAACGAGTCTGCCAGAGAGAGTTGCATTCGCAAATTGTGGCTGCACGACACACAAAAACAACCTCATGCTCTGTGAAATGAGCAATTCGAGTAGAGAGCACTTCTTCTTGGAAACACCATGCACGATATCGTAGTGGCAGGTCATGGTATTGCCCAAAAGGGACACCCGTTCCGTCATCTCGAAATATGTGCGTTATGTTATCGCGAACGTATACAGCAAAAGCTTTGTCATTGTGAATTGCGTCCAGTATTCGAGTAGTACGAAGACGATTCAACAATCCTTGACTTCCGTTCTCAGATGCAGATGCAGCGATGGTGAGGTAGGCATTCGAGAATATTTTGGCCATTTGAGAAGCTTGTTCGGCCCAGTCCTGCACGGAATCTTGTAAGATGCCTATCAAAATGGGGAAAACTTAGTGCAAGCGACGGCATGCTTCGATTCTAGGAAGCACTTACATAGAGAATCGATCCAGATGTAGTTTATGCCGAGCTCGCGCGTCAACAGTATAGCTTCTTGAAACGTCTTCGATAAGCACGTCCAGCGGATACCTTCGTTCTTAAATGCAGACATTGTGACAGTCGTAGTCTTGATGGGCGGGAATGACATTGAACCCCAACAGTGGCTCAGAGCGGTATATCGAAGATCAGCCCCTCTCGAACATATCTCACCCCCTGTTATTTCAAGCAAACGGACTTGCAAAGGCACATCGTCCCTGCTTATATGCAGTAGCCGCTTTGGGATGAATCGAGGTGTCACCAACCCGCCCGACATTTGTTGCAGGTCACCAACTTTGCATGTGGTGTGGGTGGTATTGCATGAATCGAGCATGCGATGAATTGACTGAGCACAGTCCTGAATGCTCGCGCTCTCATCGGGTGCGTAATTCGAGGTCATGAAAGACCAGGGGCAGTTGTCCCCTACGATTCGTCAGTAAGCAGACAATGCGACCGCTTCATTTACACTCCTAGGAGATTTATTCCCTACCTAATGCGGCATAGAAGTATACGTCGTGCCAGTCTGCAGTGTCAGTACATGACGTGTAGCGGGTTAGGCAAAAGTGAAGAGACCCCTGAAACGTACCTGCTTCCAACGCTTCCACTCTCAGCCATGATAGGGATTCTTTGACTTCCGTAACTATTGGGGAGTAGTTTACTTCCGTGACTGTTAGGGATTCTTTTACTTCCGTGACTCCGGACTTCACATGTACACGATCGGTACCCTGTATCGTCATGTCTGCGCCGGCGCAAGCTGACTCGCTAACTCGCTGAAGAAGCTCGCATAGCTCGCATCCATCGGCTACTGCGCTCCATAGCTTTGCGTACGTTGTCCGGAGAGAGTATGGATCTGGCAATCGCAAGCATCGGCAAACTTCGCAATCTTCATCGCTCATTGCATGATCCAGCTCTTCTTCTGACGACTCCGCCTGCGGAAAAGACGCCGCATCATCGGGGCATGGGGTGTTTGACATCGTGCCACAACCGTGTTTATCGGCTGGTCGCTGGTATTGAGTAGTTGATAAGAAATACGATGAGAAGGGATAAGTCACGAAGATTTGAAGGTGCTAAGATGTGTTTGCGTGAGGGGCAAGATAGCAAGGAAAGCTGATACGGAATGAAGAAGGCTGAGTCTCAGCCTGGTGACGTCGCATTACGCTGTGGCTTTCATACTCCATCCAACTGGGTGCATGTATCCAGTAAAGACCGATTCGCAGTTTAGCTCATACAACGAGACATCTTTGACCGATGACACCTAAGCCATGCATCAAAATGTCACCTGCGTAATGGGAAGATGAGCAGACACGGAACACGGGACCCAAGTCCTGGGCGGGAATACTTTGCACATAGCCTAAGGCCGTCGACGCATGTGTAGGGTGAATCAGCCGTCAATCAAGTCGATATTGCTTTTTCGCAATGTTCGAGATGAAACAAGTGAGAGAACCCCCAAAGGAAAGCGCAGCTGCACGCGCACCCCTCCCCTCACTAGCGCGTCTATGAGGGGCAATCGCGGGGCACCAATCTACGCAGCAGCAGTCTCAACACCAAACACCGTCGCATAACGACCCAACTCCCCCCACACAACCGCAAGCATGTTCAAGAAAGAGTAAGCTGAATTACGCGTCACCAAACAGAAAGAAAAGGCTAACAGAGACTCAGCATAACCTCTGGCGCAAAATCAAAGGTCAAATCCAGCGCCCAACGCGCCATCCGCTCAAAAGTGCTGGAGGAATATCCGAGATTAGAACCGTATATCGAGGATATATTGCCGAAGAAGGAGCAATTAGATTTGGTGAAGCTGTACGTCGCTATTGATCACATCTCACACAGCCACCATCACGCATAGCATGATCAAGAGAGACACCACAAGACTACAGGAAGCTAACACCCACCACCACAGACCCGACCGCGTATCCCTCTACACCCTGCACTCCACCCCCCTCTTCTTCCAACACATGGACGACGCCCTCCTCCCGCACCTAACCCTCGTGCACAAATACCCCTTCGCCTTCCACCGACTACGCATCGACCGCGGCGCCATCCGCTTCGTGCTCTCCGGCGCCACACTAATGGCGCCCGGCCTAACATCGCCGGGGGGCCGCTTACCAGGCCCGGAGTTAAGTGACGAGGACAAAGAGGTGTATGGGGCGGAGGATCTGAAGGAAGGTGAAGTGGTGGTGATTGAGGCGGAGGGAAAGGAGACGGCGTGTATGGTGGGGGTGTTGAAGATGGGGACGGAGGAGATGAAGAAGGTTAAGAAGGGGCAGGCGTGTGAGGCGGGGCATTATTTGGGGGATGGGCTTTGGGGGTTGAAGTTGGATTGAGCGGGTGAGGTTTTCGATGGCAGGGGCGAGATGAAGTACATGAGCAGCGAATAGCTTCAGAGTCACACAAACAGACCGGTTGTCGATGAAGGGATGGATCACGATCAGGAGCCACTCAAGGCTCTGATCACATACACGATGTTACAGCTTATCTTGCCACATGCAAGATAGTTGTCGATCTCAGAACGGGATCTCCATGAATGCAAACGAAGTTGAACATGGTATCATATTTCTAATCGTGAAGACTGCTGTTTGATGCAATCAATGCTCACGCCAATGATCTACTCATTGCAATCGACTTGTAGCATCTTATTGCGGTGCACCTCGACCGGCACCACCACCACCGCCTCCCATGAAGTTCCTGGCCCTGATCTCTCGTCAGTCATAATCATTTCAATGAGCAAATCCTCAACTTACATCTCAGCCAGGTTAGGATCGTTCATGAGATCCTGCATGTTGGGCATTCCACCTCCGCTTCCACCACCGCCGCCGCCGCGACCTGCACCGCCACCACCGCCACCGAACTGTTGAGCCATCTCCGCTATCCTGGGGTTGTTCATGAGGTTGCTCATCATATCCGGGTTGCTCATAAGGTTCTGAGCCATCTGCCTCATCATCGGGTTCTGCATAAGGCCCGCGAGATCGGGCATGCCGCCGCCTCCGCCGCCGCCACCACCGAGCATACCAGCGAGAGCAGAGAGATCAGGCATTCCGCCGCCACCACCACCCATACCGCCAGCTCCTCGGGCAGCGTCGGGCGCACCGACATCACCTCCATCCTCTTCGACCTTCTTCTTGGCTGTCTCATAGCCCTTGCGCATGACTTCCGAACCGCCGCCCTCTGCGTCCATGCCCGACTTGTATGCCTCCATAGCGCCTTTTGCGTCGCCGAGAACGTACTTAGCGAGACCGAGACGCGACCAAGCCTTGGAGTAGTTGGGGTCGGCCGCGACTGCCATCTCGGCGTCTTCCTTTGCGAGCTCGTGCTTGCCCTGGCCCGAGTATGCGGCGGCGCGGTTGGAGAGGTAGATGGGGTTGAGGGGGACGACTTCGAGGGCGGCGGTGTAGTGCTTGACAGCAGAATCGTAGTCCTTCTTCTTCATCGCCTCGTTACCCAGTCCCTTCAGTCTCTCGGCCTCATCCTTGTTTGGCCCGCCTGGTCCTGACCCGGCGGCAGGTGTCTGTGGCGTCGC